GACTTTGGTTCCCAGAGGTAAGGACTTTGGACCTGGGAGTTATGGACTTTGGTTCTCAGAGGTAAGGACTTTGGACCTGAGAGTTAAGGACTTTGGACCTGAGAGTTAAGAACTTTGGTTCTCAGAGGTAAGGACTTTGGACCTGGGAGTTAAGGACTTTGGTTCTCAGAGGTAAGGACTTTGGTTCTCAGAGGTAAGGACTTTGGACCTGAGAGTTAAGGACTTTGGACTTTAGAGTTAAGGACTTTGGTTCTCAGAGGTAAGGACTTTGGACCTGAAAGGCAAGGACTTTGGTTCTCAGAGGTAAGGACTTTGGACCTCAGAGTTAAGGACTTTGGACTTGAGAGTTAAGGACTTTGGTTCTCAGAGGTAAGAACTTTGGACCTGAGAGTTAAGAACTTTGGTTCTCAGAGGTAAGGACTTTGGACCTGGGAGTTAAGGACTTTGGTTCTCAGAGGTAAGGACTTTGGACCTGGGAGTTAAGGACTTTGGTTCTCAGAGGTAAGGACTTTGGTTCTCAGAGGTAAGGACTTTGGACCTGAGAGTTAAGGACTGGACAGAGGTAAGGACTTTGGTTCTCAGAGGTAAGGACTTTGGTTCTCAGAGGTAAGGATTTTGGACCTGAGAGGCAAGGACTTTGGTTCTCAGAGGTAAGGACTTTGGACCTGGGAGTTAAGGACTTTGGTTCTCAGAGGTAAGGACTTTGGACCTGGGAGTTAAGGACTTTGGTTCTCAGAGGTAAGGACTTTGGTTCTCAGAGGTAAGGACTTTGGACCTGAGAGTTAAGGACTTTGGACTTGAGAGTTAAGGACTTTGGTTCTCAGAGGTAAGGACTTTGGACCTGAAAGGCAAGGACTTTGGTTCTCAGAGGTAAGGACTTTGGACCTGAGAGGCAAGGACTTTGGTTCTCAGAGGTAAGGACTTTGGACCTGGGAGTTAAGGACTTTGGTTCTCAGAGGTAAGGACTTTGGACCTGGGAGTTAAGGACTTTGGACCTGAGAGTTAAGGACTTTGGTTCTCAGAGGTAAGGACTTTAGACCTGGGAGTTAAGGACTTTGGACCTGAGAGGCAAGGACTTTGGACCTTGGAGTTAAGGACTTTGGACCTGAGAGGTAAGGTCTTTGGACCTGGTTGTTAGTGATATTTCTCTGTCCATGTGATACATGTATGACGTCATTCGACCGAGCCGTGTAGAATTCTCACACACATAAAACTCGGCAGGTGGAATCTAGATAAAATTGGTCTTTGAATAAGCAACGAAACCTTATATCAATGAAAGAAATGGATTTCCTGATACAGCTGCGTATTACGGCTATATTGAACTACCAAGCGACCCCATACTAGGGTGGCATGACGTCAGACATGACTTGTTAATATATGTTACATAGTGTTGATTCCACAGCCGAAAATGAGATAATTAGACACGTTTCATATGTCACTGCAGGGTTCACCCAAGTGGGTAGATGTTTGAACTTAACAACCTTTGGTGTAAATCCGAGAAGTTCAGATCAACGATCCTTACTCAAGGCTTGTGGTTTTCACAAAGCTGCGGTCAAAGAACGCGACGTGGGTCTGTCCTTTACCATATCTCAGTACCCCAATCGCTATAGAATCCATGTGATGGGTTTAAAACACTTTGGTCAGTGAGGTAGCCATCAGTTTTTAAAAGCTGCCCTAGCTGTGAACTAGACGTGAACACTTCCGTATCCTAATATCTTATACCATCTGATAAATCCTAAATCATTTTAACGCAATGTTACTTAAACTTGTGGGAACTCCTTACGATAAACCGCTTGTTATAAACAAACTATTTGCTTCTACATATTAAGGCAATAAAAGACGCCATTTTAATGATATCCCTCTTTGCAAAATGTCTCCATGGCACATTTTTGAGGTTCTAATCAAGTTCCACAAGAGGCCCAATGGGCCTGCATCGCTAATCCAGTTATTTAGTCATTTAATTGTTGTTAATCCTTTAAGTCAGTGGGGCAATGATAATTATTGGTCAATGAAACGTATCTGTAGAACTACCTTGATGTGTCAATCGTATGCAAGTTTATATCTGTAGCCCTTATAGTTTTCAAGAAATGGGCTGCAGATGCTGACATGTATTTGTATCTGACAATGTAATGATAAAAGAAAGTATCCGAAGATTGGAATTTTATTTCTGCCGTATAAATAATAGCGAAAGACAGGAATGTTTTAGATCAAGTTTGGTGAAAACCCAGTTAGTCACACAGGAAGAGTAGGATTTGCGAGAACCATTGTTTATACAAAATTTATTCCCCTTCACAAAACATTGTTTCGGACTATTTTTTTTTTTTTTTTTTTTGCCGCGCGAATTTGGTTTATTCTCTCTATTGGGTTCCGAAACCCACCGTTGATACAAAATTTGGCTCTTTCCCCAAGGATGCTACTGACCAAACTTTGTTAAAATCCGCTCAGTCGTACATGCCTAGTAGCAATTTGTAGAAAAAAATTGACGGACGACGGACGCCGGAGGCTGCGGTATGACTTAAGCCTTCCAGCATTTCCGACCAGGTGAGCAAAAATGTTATGTACCGGATTTCAGAATGAAAAAAAAAAGGTCACATCAGCTAATGCCGAGGTGTTGATACACGAGAGTACACGTGTCTTTTGTACAGCCCTTTGAGATTTAGTGGTAGACACTCCAGGTGGACTTTTAGCTCCCTAGGTTTCTTGTAACATACATGCTTCGTTTTAATTCATTCAAATAATGGTATGGTTTATACTATATTCACAGTTATATGATGTTATTTTGAAATAATTTAATATGGAAACTTAGGGTGTTACTTTTTAGGCCCCTAACATCACTGACGAGTCCCAGAAGGACGAAACACCTGTATGATACAGTTAACTTCATCATTTGGCTCTGCAGCATCTTATCCTTCGTTTCACTGTAATGTGTTATTCTCTTGTGTGTCTTATGTGTAATCTTGTGATCTGCTAGCACAGCAACAACAATCCTTGGAAATAGATAGATTTTCCATCTTTGACCATTGCACACATGGAAAAAACCAGATGCCCGAGTCTGCCAATTCAGCAACGCACAATACACAATGAGCTTTGGACAGTGGATATCTATTTCCATATCTTCGTCATTTCATTAATTAACTTCCACATGCTGTGAAATCATTAAATTTCAGGGGGAATGGGGGTGTATTTCCATTGATTTCGTAGGTGCTTTGCAACGACATAAGGAGATATATTTGGCTATATCTATTAAAGTAAGAAAGAAATAAAACATGGCAAAATAATCATTATCCAAACTAAAATTAATTTACAATGATTTACACGGAGACTCCTGAAAAAGTACAAGGGGAATAAGACCAGGTGTTCCAGATGAGTAAGCGTCTTCCGCCAAGTAAACAAACTAACGTACATTAAACACGTACAGATTTATATCGAACAAAGAAATTTGATATTTCTCAATCACATCACTAATGATTAGCTCATATAATTTTAATCATCCTTCATCGTTTGAAACCCTGTGTTACGAGTTTGTCCACCAGTTGACGACCTCTTGCATGAAAATCACGTTGGCGGGAACAGGCCCTTGTATATCAAATCAATTGCGACATGTAAACATAATAGGATGGGCAGGAGGTAATGTTGCCATCCAGAAATGGAAAAAAAATAGTAGGAGAATTTAAATAATCAGTTTATCATACACTCACTTCAGCCTCGTATGAAAACAAAAACAAGTTAACAATCAGAGGGGCACAGTTAATTCCCACGGATATCCCAATAGTCTATTCGGAGATCTTACCACGTAAGACTTTCTTTTAAAAATCACGAAAATTGACCCCTCACTAAAGTATATTTATTTACAGTAATATCCGTAAAGCAAAACCATATCTTTTACACTTCATATGTCAAACCGTCAATAACATTGGCATACATTTCCTTGTTTTGTTTGTTTGTTTGTTGTTCTCAAATGGAACTTTTGTAAAATACCAAGCCCCTTAACTTGTAATGACATCGTTCAAACTCCAGAAACGGTGTGATAGATTTTTAATACCATCAAATAATTTATTACTGATCGATACAGCTGTAATATCTTAATAATTTCATTTCTATTTTAAAAACTCCATCTTGACAATTCTACGAAAATATCGTGGTCATAATTTGATAATTCAATTACTTCAAAAATTATTGACAAAACGGCATTTTCAACAGTTTTCTCATCATCATAGCTCTGATTTATATTTGAGGAATTTCCGATTCCTTTGAAGCTATAATTCAAGCAAAATGTTAAAATTCAAATTAAAACTCATGACTAATCGATGAAATGATTTAGTTAAACTATTTCTGGTCTTTTTAGTTAAAGATATATAACAACTCCAGAGAGTTGCCGTTAAAAATAGCAAACATTTCAATCTATGTTAAAAATATCAGACTCACTGACGACCGTGATTCAAATATGTTCTGATATAAATTGGATTTAGACACAAATATTGCGAAAAGTGAACAAAAAGATCAACCACTCATTGGAGAAAAACTCAAATAATTCCAAAAGTAAAAAAAAATATAAGAAAAAAATAATTTAACCATGTTTTGGAGAAAACACAGAAAAATACCGACATCTTAGCAAAGCCTCAATTCAAACTCAAAGTGATGAAACGAAGGAAAAATGTGAACAACACAAATATTTACCAGGAAAACCACAAAGAAGAAAGGTTATACTGTTATCTACATGTATTTGTCTGGAGACATCCGCTAGGGAAATCTGGTCAATTCAAGTTAGCACTGTCCTGTTCTAAACTGGGAAGAAATGACTTCGGCCGGTCGTGATAGTCCTCATATCCGGAGACATGTCGATAAAATATTAATTTGGATTTCATCCAAGATTGTCTACTAAATCTTAATGTTTTGGTGTTAATAAATGTAACTTCCATTACAGAATGCATTTTATCAGAAATAAAACTCATAACCAAAGCTATTGAGTTCCGAGTTTTTCTCCTCTTTAACACCGATATACATTTAGTTTGTTTACCAAAACAAAGACATTCTATTGTTCCGTATGCAGAAGAGAGCAGTATCGTGCTCAGGATAGGCATGTGTTTTCGTGAAGCTCCTCCAGACATGCTTCAAGGAACTCGTGAGTTAGGTTATGTCGTGTAATCATCCCCAATACCTGAAAAACAAACAAAAACAAAAACAAAAAATAAGTGTCTCACCTCCGAACTTTGACCCCAAATAAGTGTCTCACTTCCGAACTTTGACCCCAAATAAGTGTCTCACCTCCGAACTTTGACTCACGTAACACTATTACGATGGGACGGCAACATGGAAATGCATGTTGTTGATGCTGTTTAGATTTACAGCGGTTTTCTCATTTTAAGAAATATATATCTTATTCTGAGTTTTAAATGATGACCTGATAACGATCTTACCCTGAAAATAATTTTTCTTGTAGAAAAAAATAGAAGGACCTGCAAATTGTATTTTTTTAGATTAAAAAAAAAATAAATATATCGTCAACCAATTTCAAACTTCAAGAAAGAAAAAAAAATCGCCAACTTTAATTTTAATTTTAATTTTAGATTTAATTATAACTCTGACACGATTTTTATAATTTTGTAGAAGAATATAACTAAGCTTTATTCATTTTTTACATGGAAATTCAACCTAGCTGCGTTATGTTCAATATGACTATCTATGAATACTGCTTGTTTAGAGACAGTTTAGACAAACGAGCACTGACTATAATATGATAACTAATGGGTATATTTGTTTCTAGATTATCGTATGAACACATCTGTAACGTAAAAGTTAAGTGTGATACCAAATTTTATTATAATTTCGCATTTTTTAATTTAAATTGAAATATAAACAAGATTAGGTTGTAGCCGATTTGACTTATCCGTTTGATTGCCATTTCGTCACTCTACAATTTAAGATAAATGTAACTGTAGATTTCTGTGACGAAGGTGACATAGTGTAGTCATCGACATCTCACACATGAATTTCTCGTTGGTGGTGATTTCTGAGTAGTGTCTTGATAAAAACTGAGATACAAATAGACGCCTACCATGATGTCAAATGATAAAGCCTTGGTTTGAATATATTCCGCCATCCCACATCGCCTCATATCGATGATTATTTTTAGTCATGAAATGGCTGGAACGCCTGTCTGTATGATTTTAGCTGCGGACACATCAGATATAACCCGATCGTTTAGTAATTAACATAGGACGGATCTTTGGCGTCATCAATTGACAATGATAAATTGTTCAATAAAGTCACCATATTAGGCAAGTCAAGACAAGAGCTGTTGTAATGAATGATTTCGTGAGAGTTCACGCTGCAACAAATTTGGGTGATCACAAACTCTGTTATAAATTGACAATGAAGAGAATTTCTCTCCTATAATGGCGCGAAAGTAAAGCAGGCAAGCATTCCTTGTCAGTTAAGTTATAGAGCATTAAAACTACTCCTAATAAAGAACAATAGGTCTTAGGGGCTTGTGAACCTCCCGAAGAACAATAATAAAAAAAAACCACATTGTTTTATATAATTAACCTTGTAGCACCTATTGATAGAAACTCATTATCTGACACGTCAACACAAATATTGGAAACGTTCTAAAAATAAAACATACAATTCATTACAATGTACTTTTCACAACAACTGGACATACTATTCATTATACTGTACTCTCCCTTAAAAACTATCCGAACATACAGTTTATTACAATGTACTTTTTATAACAAACTGAGAATATTACCTTTATCACTGAATCTTTTAATGTTTAGAATATTTTCCCTAAAGAATAGTAAAAATCTCCAGACAAAAATATAGCATATTTAATCTTTCAAACTTTCGTTTTTTTTTTTTTTTTTTTTTGCGTTGGTTCTAATCCGAACAAACTCTACTAGAAACTCTTTTCGTGCTGAAATACTATATGTTGCCCTTTCAACTCAATCAGTGGAAATATAGGCTTTCTATATCACTTTTCACCTCAAGTGTTGATATCTTCCTATATAAAAGACACTGCCTTCATTTACGTTATTCTCGCCCCCTATCGGCTGTCAAGCTTATCACCATACCATCTGAGTGAAACGAAGGGCGGTAACTCTTGGAGATTAGAATGACATTTACATATGCCTTTCTCATGGATTTATTCATTAAGCTGTTTTATGAAAGATTGAAATATAACAAAATTCAAATAATATATAATAATAAATAACGCAAGTATTCCTGAATCACACAGTCGTAATGAGGTAAGGAGACTGGATTATACAAATATCGGAAATTTGGTGACTGAATCGGAACACTTTGGCTTCTTCAGTGATAGTAATAATGTCTTTCTCGTTTATGAAAAGTGACGAAGGTTTCCGAATCTCAAACTGGTCATCAGGTGCACAGGAATTCTGATGTACTCCGATCTTGATTGGTTAAAATCGTAATTTTCCCCAAGTGTTAGATTAGAATATTTGAATTATTTAAGACTTGCAGTTTCTTTTGGTATTTTGTCGGTCGAGTTATTTTCTTTATTTTATTTTTTTTCTCATTTCTCATGTGTCGAAAGTTCTTATTTCGTGTTGCAATAAAAAAAAATCAAGCGACCAGCTATTAAAGGCGATTGCATATGCAGTTTGTTAGTTTTGATGGATTTTTTTAAACTACTTTGAATTTTAACACACAACACCCAAAACATTCGGTATTAAGGATTTTCTATAGATATGCAATGGTAGCAATGAAAAGTTTATTGTTTGTAACAAAAATGGAATTCCTTTCTCCAAACCGTAAAAACGTAATTCTTTTACAAGCTGAAAACACGCGGAATATTCGTCGTGCAGAAACTTTCATTATTTTCGTTGCTGTATTCCAAACAACGAAAATAAAGTACAGCGAATAATATCTCAGATGAATGAATTATGAGTGTAGTCATGGGGTATTAAAACATTTTTTACCGTTGAAGTGGTGTTTAAATACAAAAAGTACCCTGTTACCACTACCACTATATTTTTTAGTTTATTGTATAATTTGCTATACTATAACCGTTTTTTATGGTCCTTGTCTGAATTCGTGGCGATTCATTTTCGCGAATTTGTTGTGATTACAAAATTCGTGAAAGTTCATCGCATGCTAAAGTGAACTTGTTTACAATACTTTTTTACCTGTCCCTCGTGACTGACGACAGGTAGGTGTCGGAGTCCCATACTTCTGAAGAGATTGAACACTTGTGGCACCGGCGTGGTAGGGTAAACGGTATACGGGCATGGATTCATATAGGGCACAACATCCTGTAATGATAATTACTTACATGTACAAACACTTGGTTCACATAGAGCACTGTGACTGTATGAAATCTGTATTAACAGATAAATTCAGATTTATCGCCCCTTTTCTGTGACAACAGAATATATATGGAGGAACATTTTCGGATAAATATCAGATAAATTAAAATCTATTTAGAATTGTTCAAATTGCAATAAAACGTTCATTTTCACCAGTGATAAATATAGCAGCGAGTCAAATCAGTTAGGAATGTCATAAATATTTATGTAAACAATAACAGTAAACAAATAACTTAAACAACAGTCATCAAAAAACAACACAAGGACAAATCAAACCATTGCAGTTTTGTTCACCTCAAACATGCCTTATATGTAGCCGACTTGACTTCATATCACTATAATTTGAACGTCATTTCGTATACAATTATTATCAAATGTGAACATATTATTCATTACTCTTGGACAATGTGGACGAAATGACTTGATGGTGCTATTGTAACTGTACTAATCGTTTGTATGATAAATGTGTTTTACTTAATGTCTACAAGTTTTTTTTTCTTTTTTTTTCTTTTTGTGTTTTTTTTTTTTTTATTATTATTGTTTTACTTTTTTATATATACTTATTTATTTCCCAAATTGAAGAAAATATTAAATAAGATATATAAGCATCTCTAATTTTATATAGAACTTATTTTGATATTGAAAACCTTCGCTTCAAACAATTTTTTTTCCTTAATTTTAATTATTTTATTTAACAAAAATAATGTAATACGTCATTTCAGCTTGTTACAGCTACTCTTGTTTGGAGTAAATTGAAGAATACGAGGAAAACCAAGAAAAGTGTTCGGGCACGTGCCCCAATACCTGGAACTTTTATCTAGCACGGAGTTCTGGAAAACGAACCAGTACGACTTGATACAAGACACACGTGTTACCACCGACCTCCCGAAACATAAACATTGATCAAGGTCAAAATCCATGTATTTGCAAGTTCTTGATAATCTCCTATTAGAATAAAATTAGATTTAACATTTCAGGAATCGAATACTGCTGGCCGATAAGGAGACATCTGAACAAACGTAGCCATGTCATTCCATACTAACGAGATGGCTTATCACACGCAGCAAAGTACACTACCCGGTGATCTAACACAACCAGGCAATGAAGCTCTTTTATCGTTTTTTTTTTTTTTTTTTTTTGCATTTTTGTATTTTTGAATTTTATTTCATTTTATTATTATTTTTTTTTTTTATTTTTTTCTTTTTTTCCGTTTCTGTTTTTTTAATTCCACAAGAATTCAGAACGAGAATTCAAACCATTTAATGTTATCAACATTTTGCATTGAAAGAAATCACAATGCCTCCATTTTCTATAAACCACACTTGTTACGTAGAGATGGGATAACACAAAGTAAGATACTACATATGATTTCGGTAATAAATTAAAAATGATCTTTTCCCTGCAGTGCTGTTATTTATGGAATGCACAAATGACACACTATAGAATAGTGCCTTTTAGTTAAAAACAACAAGAAAATACCAACATTTCAACATAAACGTAATCCAAAATTCAAATTCGATTAATCTTGGGCAAAAGTTGAACAAAAGTAAAATCTACCCGGAAACCTCAGAAAAAGTACAAGGTGTTCCGTAAGAGTAAGCGTCTTCTGCTTCATCGACGACATCCGCCATGTAAACCTTGGTCATTCTAAGTAAGTAACGTCACATTATCAAATGAGAACAAGGTTTAAAACAAGGGAACTAACCAGCAAACTTAAGAGCATTAAACATATCCAACTTCATATCAAAAAAAAAAAAAAAACCTAGAAAAAAAAAATAATGCAGTTATATCGTCCATTTCTAGGTCTCGATAGTGTAAGGATGATATGTGATAGTTACAAACAGAGACAACAATATTTCAACTCGACTTAACACCAATGGATCTAAGGGTTATATTACAATTGTATGTACACACTGACTGTCAGAGACAGACCAATTCGTACGGTTATTTACATACAGAAAAAAGGACATAGAAAACATCAACCTGTAAGCCTTCAATCTTTCCGGCTGATATAAAATATTGTTAGGACGACACAAAAAAATGTCAAATAAACGCTACAGAATATTGTAACATTTATTTATTTTGATAATTAAAGCAGAATAAAGTTTTCTAGAGGTCGCCATCCATTGTCACATCCATTGAGACCACAAAATAAAGGCACGTTGATACATGATGAAAGTATGTAGTATGTGGTATGCGCCACATCCAATCTTTCATGTTCACAAAAATAATCTGAACGATTTTTAATTCACGGATGAACAAATTGATCAAGACACAAAAAATAAAAAATATAGAATCTTAACAGTCCATATTCAACTTGAAATAAAACATCGCATCTAATTTATGACGTCATCGACTCGAGTGGCTGTTTACGCCCTTTGCTCTAAAAAAGTTTCAAAATTTAACTGCTCTATCAAATATGACTTTAAGGTCTTAATAGATACAGTAAAAATAAATTGAACAGGTCTTACCTCAAATACGTCCGCGAACAAATTTTTATCAAGTAGAACGGAAATATCTTATTAAATCAATGTTTTATTGAAAATACCGAAGTTCAGGAAAGAATACTCATGTCCGGAAGTGGACAGAAAGCTTCCTCATATAGCGAGTGTTGTCTATTGATCTTAAACCAAGGTGTGGTTTGTGGGGTTGATTCTGATCTAGGCGACTGTCGGAGCAGCAGTGTTAACGTTCCGAACGACGCTTCAGTTAATTAACAGGTGATGCAGTAGTTCAACGTGATGTCCAGCATAATCTAATATTCTCTAGACAGCTACCGTGGTGGTCAAGCGAAGAAATGACCCCCAGAGATCGGCAGATGTTACAAGACGTCCCAGCCGTCATATCAAAGAGTCTCCGAGGTGCCAACAGCTTGGGCAAGTGTTCCTCGGCCATTCATCATACCGAAAAAATAGACCGCTTTTAATTCATTACACTAATCCAATTATCGTCGCCGAGACGACAGAATTACTTGTGACTGTAAATATATCAAAATCATATAAATCAAATTTCTCAAAAAATAAGATACATGTGTATTAATATCAATGAACATATATATATAGCAATCATAAGCGATTTGTATCCCCCCCCACTTCCTTCACACGCATCCCCCACCTCCAAATATAAATTTGTCACACGCATCCCTCACCTCCAAATATAAATAAAAATAAAGAAAGAAGCGAAGTTAGATTTGAAAAACACACTTTATATAGGTTCTTTTAATTGTGAAAACAACGATGCCGTTTTCTGTGTTGTATCTTTTAGTTTTAGATAACATTCTCTGTATGGTAACTTTCAGTTCGTGATATTTTCTGTGTGGTAACTTTCAGGTCGTGGTAACATTTTCTGTATGGTAACTTTCAGTTCGTGATGATATTTTCTGTGTGGTAAATTTCAGCTCGCGATATTTTCTGTGTGGTAACTTTCAGTTCGTGGTAACAGTTTCTGTGTGGTAACTTTCAGTTCGCGATATTTTCTGTGTGGTAACTTTCAGTTCATGGTAACATTTTCTGTGTGGTAATTTTCAGGTTGTGGTAACATGTTCTGTGTGATAACTTTCAGGTCGTGGTAACATTTTTTGTGTGGTAACTTTCAGGTTGTGGTAACATTTTCTGTGTGGTAACTTTCAGGTCGTGGTAACATTTTCTGTGTGGTACCTCAGTTCTTGTTAACATTCTAACATTTTGTCTCAGTAATGGTGTTGTTATTACATGATTATTTCATAGTGTTTTGTTGGTAGATTTTTAAAGGCTGTGAGAAGGAAATGTAAACACTCTGCTGTAATGAATATTGTAAACATAGAAATTATTTATAGTATCTTTTTCAACTGAATCGGTGGTGACGAAGAAAAACTTTTTCATTTGAGGACAATGGAATGCTATTCCGGAAAATGAATTTCAAACATTTCAAGCATGAGTTTCCATTGGTTTCTGAAAATTTTATCCAAAGTGTTGAGATTGAAACAATCAAATCAAAAGAAAATTTATATTTTCCCCCAAGATTAACTGCTTTTTTGTATTTCATGACACTGTAGAAAGTTCACTAGCAAGGCTGATATTTTAAATTGGAATCGCCATGACAGCTCAATGCTTTATTCAGAGTGAGAGCCAGACAATGACAGGAAGTCTAAATTGAGAGATACTACATCAGTCTATTTAGAGCAGCAGTCTTTCTTCACAGTGAATTTTCCTGTGGTAAACACATCTAGACAGATAGCCATTACAAAGAAATAAATAGTACAAACAGTGCATGTTCATTTAGACTTCCTGTCATTTTACTCGGCAGATTCGTAAAGGTCATTCTTGCTCTCACTCTGAATAAACCATTTATTTTATATATAGAAGAACAAAACATTTAATTAAAGTGCATCACACAGCTATTTCGTCCTTTTAGGACTCGTCAGTGATGCTACATCATACAGCTGTTTCGTCCTTCTGGGACTCGTCAGTGATGCTACATCATACAGCTGTTTCGTCATTCTGGGACTCGTCAGTGATGCTACATCATACAGCTGTTTCGTCCTTCTGGGACTCGTCAGTAATGCTACATCATACAGCTGTTTCGTCATTCTGGGACTCGTCAGTGATGCTACATCATACAGCTGTTTCGTCATTCTGGGACTCGTCAGTGATGCTACATCATACAGCTGTTTCGTCCTTCTAGGACTCGTCGGTGATGCTACATTATACAGCTGTTTCGTCCTTCTAGGACTCGTCGGTGATGCTACATTATACAGCTGTTTCGTCCTTCTAGGTCTCGTGAGTGAGGCCAAGCGCCCATTTTGTAGTGTTAGAGGTGATGGAGGAAAGTCCAAAGTGATCGAAAGAAAAATCTAGGCGAGAGGTGTATAAGCCCGATAATTCAATGAATTTCTTAATTTCATATCTCTTTTCATGGACAGATAATCTTCACGGACAGATAATCTTCAAGGACGGATAATCTTTATGGACAAATTATCTTCATGGACAGATATTCTTCATGGATAGATAATCTTCATGGACAGATAATCTTGATAATCTTCATGGACAGATAATCTTCATGGACAGATAATCTTTATGGACAGATTATCTTTATGGACAGATAATCTTCACGGACAAATAATCATTATGGAGAGATATCTTCATGGACGGATAATCTTCATGGACAGATAATCTTTAATGACTGATAATCTTCATGGATAGATAATATTCATGGACAGATAATCTTCATGGACAGATAATCTATCTTTATGGACAGATAATCTTCATGAACAGATAATATTCATGGACAAATAATCTTTATGGAGAGATATCTTCATGGACGGATAATCTTCATGGACAGTTAATCTTTATGGACAGATAATCTTCATGGACAGATAATCTTTATGGACAGATAATCTTCATGGATAGATAATCTTTATGGACAGATAATCTTCATGGACAGATAATCTTCATTGACAGATAATCTATCTTTATGGACAGATTATCTTCATGGACAGATAATCTTCATGGACAGATTATCTTTAATGACAGATAATCTTCATGGACAGGCAGTTTATGTGGAGGTACATGTACATAAATGCATGTCAATGTAACTCATAAGATGTTTGATTTCATGTAAGAGTTTATTTAACGGGTCTCAGAATTTTTTTATCGTACGAATTTTTACAACACTACTCAGAAAAGTTACATTCCTCGTGTGAACATCTACACACCTCAGATCTCCTCCTGAGAAATACCATTGTTAAGTCGCACGCTCTACAGAATGAATCATCGTGGCTTCATTTATCGCAGATCAACTCTTTGTAGGTGAACGATGAAATAGTAAAATACTGTTGTCAATCAATTGAAATTTTCACTAAAAATAAAACTCCTTATTGCATTGTCCTTGAACAACAAATCGATGATTTAGTGTTTAATTATTTCTTAACGTGCATGACTTTGAAGTTGACCCTATCAATGGTTTCTTTTCCATTTAGTTTTAATTCATTCCTGTATTAATTGTATCAGCAGATGCGAAATCATTTTAAAACCAGCGCTGAATACATGTTATCTAGGACCTCACACTGATATCAATCTATTACTTAGTTTACCAGTGATTCAAAACGTCAAGGAGGGATCCTCCTCATTGTCGATTTTACTTTTTTTTGACCAATTTTAAATTTCTTTATTCGCCTTAATGTTTTCACATTATAGGCTCTTAGCCTCACTGGTGACTCCTAGAAAAGGGGAAACACTTCTTTGATGCATGTTAATTCATAATTTGGCTCTCCTGTATCTAATTTTTAATTTCTATGGAAATGTGTTATGTAACTTACTTCATAGACTAAAGTAGTTTTTGATTATTAAGTTACGCATGCGCACTATAAAACTAAACATAGTTGTGTAATTCAACCTTTAAATATTTTTTTTCTTTCCAAAGAAGCCTTACAAGAAAGAAGAACGTTAATTCATTTTACAAAAGTAATAAGAATTACTTATCCAATGATACAGTCCATTTTTCCTTATCAACGTATCCCACGAAAAAAATTTTTCAGTATTAGCATCCGTAGGTTGAAAGCTTAAACCAGAATACATAACTAAAATATTAAGTGATTTATAAGGAAGATGAGACAAGCCACAGACACAGCAGAGTATAAAAACTTTAAAAAAAAACTTACCACCAGTTTCAGCTGGTTCAGGTCGTGTGTTTTCGTGACGTCATATATGTCTGGGTATCGGGGATAATCCTCCGTCATTTCCTCGTAGCTGAGATCTAATTGGCTCGTCCTCTTCAAAAAACAAGAAACAGGATTTTATTGGTCAAAAATGCTTAATTAAAAAAAATATTACAATTGTTATTTATTTTTTTCAAATATCATATACGTAAGGCTTCTAATGTACACAATTAAATCAAAATATTTACTTTCACGCACCAAGTTGTAATCTCCCAAAACAACTACTATTCATTCGAGAATTAATTAAGGCTTCAGTATGAGTTACATAAGATCTCGTATGAGTGAAAATACTATTTATCACATTAATTTGATTTAGTTTGACAGGTTTCAAGGTCAAAATATCGATAACAAAGTGGAGCGTAGGCAGCCATTTTGTCGCGCCACTTTTTTTATCAATGGAGTAACGTCATTGTCAATTGGTAAATGGAATAGCCAATAAAAACGCTGCAGGATATATATGGTAAGCTACATCTACATGTACAGAAATATTACCAGGGCTTATTTACAGGATAGTAGGCCGAATATGTGATAATTAGAATATAACAGTTCAACAATGAAGACACGTTTCCTGTAACCGTTAATCTTTAACTCCAGGTTTGGTTAAGTTTTGAGCTAAATAACTTTCTTGATCTATGTGAATGCAATTAATGTACCTTCATTTTTTCCATTTCTAACAAATGAGGTAGATCTCCGAAGAAGTTTGGCGTATTGAATACACATGCATGCATGAAATAGTTTTTCATATCACATGACGTCAGACAATGCATGACGTCATAGCGGATGACGATAGGCATACGAACAGTTTTATCTCTGATTTATGATAAACAAAGGTCGCTCACATAAAATTGTGGCTAAATCTCAATTATTAAATGCAATTTTAAAAATTAGCATATCTTCCGGGCTTAAGATTGTACAAAAGACAAACAAGACGGACGAAACAGCTGTATGATGTAGCATCATTGACAAGTCCTAGAAGGACGAAACAGCTGTATGATGGAGCGTCACTGACAAGTCCTAGAAGGACGAAACAGTTGTATGATGTAGCGTCACTAACGTGTTCTAGAAGGACGAAACAGCTGTATGATGTAGCGTCACTGACGTGTTCTAGAAGGACGAAACAGCTATATGATGTAGCATCACAGACGAATCCTAGAAGGACGAAACAGCTATATGATGTAGCATCAGTGACGAGTCCTATATGGATGAAACAGCTGGATGATGTAATATCACAGACGAGTCCTAGAAGGACGAAACAGCTATATGATGTAGCATCACAGACGAGTCCTAGAAGGACGAAACTGCTGTATGAGGCGATATAACTAGTTGCAATATTTTGCTCCGTTGTATCTAATTCTAAATTTTTTATTAAAATTGCTGTTTACTTGTGTTTTTTACCAATCTTTAAGGCGTCATCTCAGGACACTACCTGACAAATATCTTGGTTCTAAATGTTTTTTAATAACAAGGATGGTAGATTGAGTGTTGAAACTAGGATCACCTATTTCACTTTGAATGCTGGTCATGGCCATTTATCTTTACTTTTTGCTGCTTCAGCTTGAAACATATTTACCAAATATCTAGATTCTAGGCTTTTTAATTAACAAAGCTACGTACAAAAAGGGTTTTGACAAACTTGACACTAGTGACCTGACACATCATAATCGTCTTTTTTTATTTAACTGTTGATATTTGAAGATATTATACACAGACAGACCAAATATCATTCTTCTAGTCGTAAGTAGTGGCCATCTGAATTGTACCTTAAATTATGAGAGAAACTGAAGTATTTAATCAAGGATTCAACAAAGAAACATCAAAATCAAACAGCAAGACTTTTCACCGACCCCGCCAAAAACTCAGAAGGTCCCTTACGCAAGGTGTGGGTGTTGTAAATATTGGTTTAGATTCGACTTCCTGCACATTTTCTAATTTGTTTCGTTTAAATATGCTTCATGGCATCGCAAATGAAATCTGTGCTTAAAAATCGTTCGAAAAATCACGAATGAAATGAAAACTCGTTAAATATCGAGGATACACGTTCTAAAACACAAGTGTTGACGGCCATAGTATCTCCCACTACAAACGTCAGCCGGAAATAATGTTACGAGTTGATGTCTTCTGTCTACCGCGCTTCCTAACATGGTTACGTGTCCGATGGTCTAATTAAGTCAACACGGTGTGTGAACGTTGTCATTTCTTTTCCTGTCGAAATGAAATTTCTTATAATTTGACTTCAATTTGTATTCATTAAGAAGTCAAATTCTATGGGGAAAATCTTCAGTTTTAATCAACCCTCCTCCTGGGTTCGTAGGTAATCCAAGAATGACGTAAGTTAATCATTGTTTGTTACAACAGACTCAGCGACAATTTTACCTCTAAATAAAAGATTTCCAAAGACCGGCCTTTTGTTGAGGATTATATATAGCATTGACTCTGCAACTAGATTGTTAAAAAATACTAATAAATCAGTAAAGAATAATTTGCCTTGTAAATATTAGATAATTCTGTGTCCAAAACAATAAAAAGAGGCATGAATGGACTTGCCACAGGAGCTATAGCCAATCCTTGGCACGTGTTGTGATACATTTTTATTCATTTTGTTATTTTACATCAAAGATAGCCGAAGGTTTATGTTGATTCTGTCAGTTACGTTTGTATTCTCTACAAGGACTACTGCCTCATTAGGACTGGTCAGTGTCAGACAGATGTTTAACTGTGTCCAAAATGTATACCAGGTACAATTTTAAAATGAACAATGAAAACTATTAAAAGGTTTCTGTAACAGATACGATGTAAATATGACGTGCTCGACGCTCATCATTACGCTTTATGGTTTCATTCCCGCTACTCCGCTTTTTGAGAACGTGACATTACAATGGTTTGAGCTAGAGAAACGCTTCATAACACATAACCTTTCCAGAACTCCTGGTAGTGATTTACAATTTTTTAACAGTCTCCGTATTAACTTTTTATTTAATCACATTTTTATTTCGTTTTAAATAAAAAAAAAGTTTATATTTTAAAATTTACGTTCGATTTCACAAAAAATATGTAAATCGTCGGATTTGATAACAATAATTCAGTTTTGTAACAGATCGTTTTAAGCTATAACAATAACGTGTATTGATGGAACAATATTGATGTTTATTTATTCATGGAATGTTTCATTGTTTTAACATTAGGTTTCATTTATTTGTTTACTTTCCTGTGATGCTTGGGAGTCTGTGGTGACAGTTGAGAAGTGGAGTGACACATGCTCGGCAAATTGAATCACGATTATAAGCTATGGAGCCATGACTGAGGAGATGTGATTAGTTGTGATTGAGGGACTGATCATTGAATGGTGGGAGGATCACAACGTCGCTTGGCTGAGGATATACATGTATGTTAATATCGACTGTATCAGACACCGAGATTTTTCTACCACATCACGTGGTATCGCGCTTGCATTATAAACACACGGATCAAGATCCTCGGTCTTTACTTGAGAGATAAGACCACCTAGGAATCATCAAACGTTTGTGTTTTTGGACCTTCCACTACTCAATAATGACGGGAACAGTGATTTTCTTTTGCTCTATCTTATTATCCAGTGTTTTGTTGTCCAACGCAAACTGGTACGGAAAAAGGGGTGAGTAGGTTTTATTGTTCTCATATTATTGTCTCTTTACTTAAATGATAAATAGTAAAAGGCATAAACAATGTTTCTAAATAGAAAAAAAAGTTTCTTGTTTCATAAAGGATAAGTTTTCGTTGTTTCCCGACCAATCAAATTAACTGTGTGAGCCTTGTAACATAGGTTCCCCCCGCACAAACATGGTTATATTTACATATTAAACATTTTTCATCTGTCATGTAACATTTTTACTAACTTTACAACCTGTAATGTGTTACGTGTTGGGGTTTAACTTTACAAATTGTCCATCAGGAATTCCACGGTTCTCACTTTAAAAATTATCATTTTTTACTTCAAAACCTGTTCGAAGCATTTGTTAAAGTCTGTCTTTAAAAACGTAAAACGCCATATGTTAAAAACCGAGTTCAAAAACAAGATTAGAAGTCTTAGAAATTGAATTTATTTCTTCCGGTTTTCTTTTTTAGGTAAACCTGTTATATGCTACGTTTATCATGTTAAAGATTTAGTCGTTGGTACAATAGTGTTTAACGAATATGGAATTGATATAAAAACGAACATGCGAACATTGTATTAAACGAATACAATAATTTCTGATCTAATTCTCCTTAAATCTGACTGTAAAAGTTGTGAGTAGCATTCTACCGATTTTAACTTTGTATTTAGTTCTATAAAACAGCGTTCCAATTTTATTGTGATACTGTTACCAAGGAAGTAGAATAAGTAGCAAGTATATGTTGAAGAGCTCCACTGTGCGTTTGACCAATCCTCAACACTTCCTCTTTGATTTCAACATATTTTATCGAACAATTTCAATGGGATTGGGCACATTTTTTCCAACTTATATCAAGCCCTTTCCCCATAAAGTTTGACAAAATACATATTTACTAGACAAAACGACATGTTTAAATACGAAATTACACGGAGAGAGAGAGAGCGTCATATTTATAATTTATCTCTTTAAGCGTAAATCTCTCCTAAACCGGACAACACTAGTATTAGTTACACTGTACACTTTTCAATGCCTTCCAGCTATTCTAAAGTTGATCACATCCTTTTCTAAAAATAATTTTTACCACAAGTTAATTTAATTGTTCCTCTCTGTTCACCATCATACCATATTCTTACCTAAAAAAAAAAGCCTTCGTTATCATGTTCTGAGAGCTACCAACAAAAGTGTACGACGGTACAAGTATATGGTTGTGAAATATACTGAAGCGATTTTCATGAAAATAACATTTAGTCCAAACCAAAAAAAAAAAAAATATACGAAGGACGAAACCGGAAAAATGATCGAATTTTCTTAATAAATACATTTGTCGAGTTTTACGTTAAGATATTCCATCCAACAAGTTATTAACATACACATGGAACAAATTGTGTCCTCGCTTAGCTGACTTTTTTGTTTTCATACGAGAAT